AGGGACCAGGTGTGGGATCAGGTGTGGGACCAGGTGTGACAGGTATGGCACCATGCCCTGCATGCAGCCTGTGAGACAGGATCAGGTGTGGGATCAGGGATCAGGTGTGGGATCAGCTCGGGCAGGTAGGGCACCATGCCCTGCATGCAGCCTGGGGGAGGGACCAGGTGTGGGATCAGGTGAGGGATCAGGTGTGGGATCAGCTCGGGCAGGTAGGGCACCATGCCCTGCATGCAGCCTGTGAGACAGGATCAGGGATCAGGTGTGGGATCAGGTGTGGGATCAGGTGTGACAGGTACAGCACCATACCCTGCATGCAGCCTGGAGGAGGGACCAGGGATCAGGTGTGGGATCAGCTCGGGCAGGTACGGCACCATGCCCTGCATGCAGCCTGTGACACAGGATCAGGGATCAGGTGTGGGATCAGGTGTGGGATCAGCTTGGGCAGGTACGGCACCATGCCCTGCATGCAGCCTGGGGGTGGGCAGTGGGTGTTTTTGGGGTGTCCACCTTCAGCCATGGCCCCCAGCTCCAGGATCCCCTGGATCAGGACGGGTTTGGGGCTGCTTTTGGGGTGCCCCAGTGCTGCGATCCCCCCCCAGGGTGTTTTTGGGGTGCCCACCTTCAGCCATGGCCCCCAGCTCCAGGATCCCCTGGATCAGGATGGATTTGGGGCTGTGTTTGGGGTCCCCTGGTCCAGGACGGGTTTGGGGCTGTTTTTGGGGTCCCCCAGCACTGGGATGGATTTGGGGCTGCATTTGGGGTCCCCCACGACAGTGACGCCCCCCAGGGTGTTTTTGGGGTGCCCACCTTCGGCGATGGCCCCCAGCACGAGGATCCCCGACTCCTTGACCACCCACTCGAGGTGGAAGAGCAGCTCCTTGAGCAGGGGCAGCAGGTGCGGCAGCAGCTCCTCCCGGAACACGTTGGCCAGCACGTCCAGCGCCGCCGCCGAGCACTTCCCTGGGGAGCGAGGGGTTAACGGGGCACCCCGAAACCCGCAGGGGCACCCCAAAACCTGCAGGGGCACCCCGAAACCCGCAGGGACACCCTGAACCCACTGGGGCACCCCAAAATCTGCAGGGACACCTCGAACCCACTGTGGCACCCTGAACCCACAGTGGCTCCAAAACTTTCAGGGACCCCAAAGTCACAGTGACCCCAAAACCCCTCAGGGTCACCCCAAAACCCCCTCAGGAATACCCCAAAGCCCCTTGGGACCCCAAAACCCTCATGGCCACCCCAAAGCCCCTCAGGGTCACCCCAAAACCTCCAAATCCACCTCAAAACCCCCTCAGGACCACCCCAGACCCCCCAGGGTCCCC